ATGTTATGTAAAATACACACACACACACACTATAATACACACACACACACACACACACACACACTTATGGGGAGCTAAAGAGGTGGCTCGGGGTTAAAAACACTTGCTTTTTCAGAGGATTGGCATATGCCTCCCAGCACCCTGTGGAAGCTCAGAACTGACTGTAACTCCACTTTGAGGATTTTGACACCCTCTTCTAGCCTCTGTGAGCACCTACAGGCACTTGTGCGTACATACACATGTGCATGCGCTCCCAGCACCCTGTGGAAGTTCAGAACTGACTGTAACTCCACTTTGAGGATTTTGACACCCTCTTCTTGCCTCTGTGAGCACCTACAGGCACTTGTGCGTACATACACATGTGCATGCATACACATAAATAAAAAATAATTTTTTTAAAAGTAAAAAGCCTAGCAGAGAATGGGCCCCCCCCAAAGATAAAAACACATCAGAGAAACAACAGCATAAAGAAACAAGTTTGGTAGAAGAAACACCTTACTGTGGGGAGGTAGTCATAGCCATCCTTTGAAGGAACCAGATAAAAAGCTAAAACAATTTAGTGAAGATTTGTTTGTCACAAAATAAATAATACACATTGCAATGAAAATGTGTTGGAGAGAATGATGCTTGCAAATAAACGTCATGATAAAGTAACTCTTAAGAGGATGCCTTAGTTACTTTTCTGTTGCAGTGAAGAGACAGCACAACCAAGGTGCCTTATTAGAAAAGCCTTTAGTAGATGCTTGCATAGAGTTTCAGAGGCTGAGTCCATGACCATCCTTGTGGGGAGCATGGCATCAAGCAGGCAGGCTGCTTCACATTCTCTTGTATTCTGCAGAACAAACAGCTACGGAATTCACAGTGGTTTACATTTGAAATACAGACATACATATCTAAATTATAGAAGTCCTTAGTTCCTGATCTATTGAGAGATACTGAGCTTTGTATAAGTTTTATAGAAAACTGAGATTACATTCATTACTTATTCACCAACACATTTTCTTGAATTACCATCTTCTATCAAGTGCTGAACTTTCAATAGTTTCACTGTAACTAAAAGACAAAAGGAGAGTAAAGAAAATCATGTCTTATTTTTTTCTTCTTTTCTTTTCAATAGGGCTACCAAAAAGCATTGGTCAAACTAAAACTTAAAAGAAATACCGTAGATGACATTTCAGAGAGTCTACGGCAAGGTGGGGGCAAGTTAAACTTTGATGAGCTTCGACAGGACCTGAAAGGGTGAGGGCCGCACTGCTAGAACTTGGGAATGCCTATTGTACATGCTAACTCTTGCTGACGAGAGGATGTTTCTGCCCCGAGTACTGGTAGAGCAATGGTTTTCATTTGGGGAAGCAGGTATTTTTCTGGAACATGCTGTCTTTCTCCCTTCCTCCTGCATCCTAATGTTTCAGGGCTCAGGCTGCACCATGTACTGTATAAATTCACCTCGACCTTCTCAACACTTTCAGGAAAGGCCACACCGATGCAGAAATTGAGGCCATATTCACTAAATATGACCAGGATGGAGATCAGGAACTGACAGAACGTGAGCACCAACAGATGAGAGACGACTTGGAGAAAGAGAGGGTGAGTCCTTTGGGGTGGAGGGAGGGCTGGACTTAGTGCCCCCATATACTAATTAATTACTGCTTTCTCTCCTTGTCCCCTCTCACCACACCCTCAACCTACACGTTGGTAGCTGCTTATTCACCTTGTTAATTCCTGCTTTAAAATGTCAATCCATGAAATCAGAACTGTAGAGAACAGGTCTGGAGCACACACATTTTCCCCTTGGGGAGATATTTTGTGAGGGATTGACGTGTCAGCCCCTCATTGGAAATCCCCATCTTCTTCAGGAGGACCTGGACTTGGAACACAGCTCTTTACCACGTCCTATGAGCAGCAGAAGTTTCCCAAGAAGCCTGGATGACTCTGAAGAGGAAGATGACGATGACAGTGGGCATAGCTCCCGCA